GGAGTAATTAACCGGACAAAGCGAACGCCGCTGCACGCCCACTATTGTTTGGCAATCCGAGCAGGGGGCGTGGCGCACTTTCACGTGGTGCGGCGCAGTGTGGCGTGGCCGGGGAGTGATTAAGAGGGGGGCGCGACATTTTTGTTGGCGGGGAAAAGTTTTCCCGGGGATTTGGAAAGTATAGTTTGGTGAGGTGGGCGGGCGGCGACCTCTGCGAACACGACGGACATGAAATTGGATAGTGTGGATGGGGCTTTCGTTGAAGTGGAGAGAAAAAATATTTTCTCCCAGGCAAAACAGCTTTAACCAAAAAAATACCAAGCCTAAAAAAAACTTTTTCTGCTTATCAGATTTGCGCGCTGTGCATATAATAAATGGTGGAGTCACTTCCTCCATATATCACAAAGTCGAAACGATTACACTGACTCCTGGCGGCTTCGACGGCTGTATCGCATGCCGTTCGGATGCAGCCTTGGGGAGAGGCGGGCGCCTCCCTTCCCGGGGCTTATCACTCTTCCTTGTGGAGCGTGGTGCGAGTGTGCCGGAGTGTGCGCAGGCAGGAAGGTGTGTGGCCTCTGGGCAGATAGGAACTGCCTTAGGCTGCCCGACTAATAAAAGCCCCTCCCCTCCCGTCCGGCCGGACGCTTTCGGTGGGCCGGGCGAGGCGAGGCCGGGTTACTCTGATCCAGTAGTAACTTACTTGCCCTCTTTATTCCCAGCTGCTTTGTTGCCGCTGAAGTCCCCAAACTAACAATGTTAACGCGCTTTCCAATTAATGGCCGGCCTGAGGTAAGGCAGGCAGGCCGAGGCAGGCCGAGGCAGGCTGTAGCCTCGCCGAACCCCTCGCCCTTCCCACGCCAAACCCCTCCCCAAGTAATTTCGCCGCCTTCTTTTGCCCTGTTCATAAATTTGCCGTCACCTTTACAGCAGTGACTCTGCGCGCGCGCTCCTCGGCCCTGCTTTTTTTCGAACAGGGAAAAGGAAGAAAAAGCGAAGGCAGGGTGGGGCTGATGCGCGGTGGAACGCGGTGGAGCGCCCCACCCGTTGGAATTAATAGTCCCACCCGAAGCAAAGCCCTTCTTGGTCACTGGCGGTAGAGTGTCGCGCAGCAGCCTGCCGGGGTGAACCGCAGCGTCAGGCCCGGGGCAGGCCCGGGGCAGGCCCCAGCCTCAGCATTAATTTTCCTTCACGCTGGTCTTCGTGGTCGCGGCGGGGGCGCATTTTTTTCTCTCCCTGCAAGGCATCACAATCTTGCCGGCATCCATCTCGCAGGGGAGAAAAAATTGGCCGCTTCGGGCGCAGGCGGGCGGAGAGCTTGTGGCCAAACCACTCCTTGCAATCTGCATTTTGCAGGGCCACTGCAGCCGCCGAGGGGTGAATCACTAGTGTACTCATGTGTACAAATTTGCCCATACTCAGTGTACTCACAAGGTTAAAAAGGGCGAAATTCACTAGTTTTTCGACCGATTTGGCGTCAAGTGTCATTTTAAACGCTAAATTAAGCCTTAAATTGTTTACAAATGTAAAATTTATGAGTAAAGGGAGGTGTACTCACGCGTACTCATGTACTCATGTGTACACCACAACGCTGAGTGATTCACCCCTCGGCAGCCGCCCGCTCGGAACAGTCGCGGAGAGGTTTTCAGGCGAGTGAGCTTCACGGGCAAGGGTCGGAAAAGCACTCTGACCTGGCCGCAACTGCAATCGAATGCCCTTGTTGTCGTCGGCCTCAGCCTCGCGAGGAATAATTCATCAATCTGCTAAGCGGCGCACGTCCCCGTCGTCCTTCGGGCAATCCACCACCGCCACCGAGACAGCCCCGCGCGAGGCAAGGTGGACGCCGCGGTCACAGCACTGTCCGCTTCAAGAAAACAGGTCCTTAAAGCCGCTGAAGGGCCGGCCGGCCGTCCACTTCGCCGGGGGTGGCCGAGGGCCTCGGGCCGAGCCCGGGACCGAGCCCAGGGCCGCTTTGTCTCCATTGTGGGCAGGCGTTTTCTCTTCGTTTCCTCGCAACCATACGGCCAAGTGAAGCCTCTATTGGAATTTACTGGTGCAGGATGGAGAGGGCCTCTGGCCGGCCGCCTTCGCCTCGCCCTCCTTTCAGGGCATTCAGTGCCTTCCACCACACTCGCGGACCGACTGGGGAAACAGACACGCCACTGTGCGGACCGGAGGACCGTGGTTCGGACTGGCAAGGCTCTGGGTGTGGTCTCATCCCCACATTTCTCGAAAGCAGAAGAATCAACGCCACTCGTCCTCTTTTGATGCCCCCTGGCATCCATTGGTATGCAAGCGCATTCAGTACATTTGACGAAGTAAAAGAAGTCGGGCCTTAACTGACTTCTCACTCAAGTTGCGCATTCTAAGGTTTTGGTCAACTTTTTTCTGAACTAACCGGTGTGGCGTTCACTCCGCAGAGGGCGATCGCCGAGTGAAAAATAAATATCGCCCTTTACTCCGGTGCCCTCGACTCTTCTCTCCTTGCCTCTTCTTTTTTTCAAGAGCCATTGACCTTGGAACAATGTGTAGCGTTGCGCACCGGCCTATTGTCTAGCAAGAACAAAAAGAAAACAAAGACTACCGGTGAGTACCAGCTACACGGCTACACGGCCGGCCGACCGGGGTTCCCTCGACACCCCTGGGCGGCCCAGGCGCGGCTCTCCTTTGATGCGGTCAGGTCGACCGGGGATGTACGATGCTCCCTCGCGGGGGCGTGGGGATCCAGCCCGACTAGGCAAGGTCCACTGCCGAGATCCCCGCTTCGTCTCTTTCCAGGAGAACGTGCCCAATTTCACCGTGTTCCGCTTCAGGAAAGCTTTGCAGCTTTCGGCCGCCGAAAACTCTGCCGTCTTGCAGCCAACTGCACACGTGACTTCTCGAGGGTCCCCTGCAGGGCAAAGCAGGGCTAAGCAGGGCGAGGCGAGGCCCCGGAAGGCGGAGCCTTGGCTGCATCAGGGACTTGTTGGAGTGGAACTTGAGTTGAGCTCGGCCGACATTTGCCTGATTGAAGTCCATCGGTTTTTTCTTCTTTTCGGAGAGGGGCGCGCGCTGGGTTGTGTGTGTGGCAGGGCGTGTCTGCGTGGCAGGCCGAGTTGGAGCGGCATTGACCGTGCACTCCAAAAAGGCAGCAGTCCTGGGGCGGAGCGCGGAGCCCCCGGGGACTGTGAGACATGCCGAGAACACAGCGGCCGCACGGACCCGTAAGTCCGCGCGACACGCGACCGGCGCTATCGCGTCACAAAGCCCAGCGAGCAGCCAATGCAAACTTTGCCGAAAGTCGTGCCGCTCGATTCGGAAAGCACGCATGCATGCATAATGGGGTCCTAGCCCCGCGGATTAACATTCCCATGGAAAGACTGCCGAATGGGGGGTGGGGGGATTGGCCGGGGATAGTGCATTTCGCAGCGGAAACGGTGCGAATTGGGCGTGCTGCGCGGTGCGGCGCCATCCGAACACTCATTTCCGGCGGACAAAGTGCTCCATTCGCTCGTCTCGGTGGTGGCGGCGCCTGGCGGGGCGGCACAGCCGCGACTGTTTCCAGAAATAGCCTGGAAAACTCCCAGATTTGATACACCTGGCGCTCACCTAAATAGTGTTGAAAAACGTCCCGTTTAGTGGAGGGCGTACCTGCGATGATTAAACCTCATTTTCCTGTTGACATTCCCTGCGGCGTCTGGAAGGCGCTGCCGGCGACCACACTGTGAGCTTGATTAAATGGGGCGCCATTGATGCTGTTGCTGCTGGCCAGGCTGGAGCCAAGCGAGTGCGTGGGCGTGGCGAGGGCGTCCGCGGCGTTCGCGGCGTCCGCGGCTCGGTGTTGTTCGACATAATGAAAGCAGGGAGCCTCCCCGCGGCGCGCTGACAAAGGCCCCACCGCCCTCTCGTTGTGGCGAATCAACTTGGTGATTTATCACGGCGAGGCGGTATCGCGCGCCGCGCCCCGCGGGGCCTCGGGGGCCTCGGGGCCCGGGGGAGGGGGGGGGGCGTTTTTCCGCGCCGTGGTTCGGCAAAGGGCTGCGGGCCCCGCCTGGGGGGAGGGCCGCCCCCGGAGGGCTCGGCGGCGCCTGGAGGCAGACCTGGAGGCAGACCTGGAGGCAAGCCCGAAGGCGCCAGCAAGGTGAGAATTAATTTAATAAAATATTTCGCGCGCCGGTGACGGCAGTGTTTTGCGGATGAGTAGGAGAAAGGGGGCACCAGCAGCACGGGGCCTCGATGGCCAAGTTTCGCCGACGAGTGCTTCGGGAAATATGTACCCAGGGCAAAGTTTATTGCAGCGCTTTAGTCTCGAATCACCTGTGTCGCTGCCGCGGTCGCTGCCGGGCCCTGTGTTCTCCCTTGGCCGGGGCATCCCTGCGGTGAGCGAAACACCTGGGTCCTTGAAGGGTGCACGGAAGGCCTGGGGGCTCATCAAAATCCTAATGGGTGCCTAGCCCTCTTTATGGAATGGCTTGGGCAGGTGTCGTGGTGCAAACGGAGCCAAGTGATGACGTGATGCCATCCTGGTCCGCTACGGCGGTAAGCAGTCCTGTCGACAGTGCGGTGACAACGCGTGGACGAATTTCAAATTCCCGCTGATTGAATCAACAAACCAAGTATTTTTAACGGCACCAGTACTGCATGCAGCCTACACACTCTTGGGTGACACTTGGCCGCCCATTTTCCACCCTGCCTTTCGTCAATGTGTCCGGAAATGTACGGTCCGCTACCGTGTCCAATTGGATTCCGAAATAATTTCCGCCGTCGCGCGGCCCGCCCCGGCTTCACTAACTTCTCCATCAAGTTGTCTTCCGTGCGGCCCGGCCCGGCCCGGCCGGTCTTCCTCGCCCTGCCTCGGCTTAGTGTTGCAGTTCTGTTTCGCCTTGTTGCAGCCCATGGCGCTGAGGAAGCTGGACCTCGGCCTGGACCTCGGCCTGGACCTCGGCCCCACATGACGCTGCTGCTGGCCGCGGCTGTTGGGGGCGGTGGCGTGGCCGGCGGCGGCGCGGCGGGGGCCGCGGGGGTCTCGGGGGCGGCTATGACCGCCCTGGCCTCGGCCGAGGGGATGGACAACCTGAGCACCCAGGACCCGTCCCCCGCCTCCGCCGGCCCCGCGCTGGCCCCGGACGAGCTGTCGACGCTCACCATGGTGCTGCTAGGTAAGTCCTGCCCGGTGGGCCGCGTGCCGCCGCCGCACCTCCCAGAGGTATTCAATCTCCCGGAATGGCCCGATAACTTTCTTTTCGGCGTCCTTGCGACCCACAGTGTCGCGGCCTCATGTCAGCCCGCGCGGCCTCGAAGGGTTTGTTGTTCGCTCCGCGTCCTTTGATGCGGCTTGGAGGTCGGGTACTCTGTCCGCCAGACTTCCCCGTAGCGCGCATCGAGCCCCGCGCCACGGAATGTGCCCAATGTGTGGCACACTGTACGCCGCGTCTCCGCGGGCGGGCCGTCGGCAGGCCGGTCACGTAAAACATGACGCTCGATGAGGACGGCAAGGCGCGCCAAGGCGAGGCAAGGGCCGCGCCGTAACGAGCACAAGACGCCTGTTTGCCCGCCGAGTGTTTGTTTTTCCCGAAGCAAAATCGATGCGCCGCGAGGCATTCGTACGCGGGACGAAGAGCCAAGTCTGGAGCAGCCCTGCCCTCTTGGCGACGCAGGGCGCAGGGCTCGGACGGCCGGTGACGGGCTCGGTGACGGTCTCGGTGACGGCCGGGGTGACGTATAAAGCGTTGGCCGTCGTGCCCGGCCGAGGCGGTCGAGGCGGACCGGCCCGGGCTCGATTTACGACGGGGCAATCTAGAGCGGATCGCACCATGACCTTGCGGACGGGGCGGCACGGGGTCAGCGCCTCCTGCCGGAGCGCCACGCCACTACGCGCAGGTGTGCCCAGCGCCGCGCCGCCGACGCCTCCGACTTCCCTTCCCGGTTCGCGGGGTCCTGTTCCGCCCGCGGGAATACACAATTCAGCGGGACAGCATTCCGAACAGCGCTGCTTTGTAGTCCCGGGCCCCGACGGCACACTGTGCGAGGGAGACGGCGCGGCAGGGCACTGCTCAGGATGAACGCGCTGCCCGTCCCCGGCCGACCCGGACGACATGTCGTGCCGGACGAGGCGATCCTAGGGACGGGGGGCGTTTTCGGGAGGCAGGCATTCATGTCACGCTCAGATTCCATGGATGTTTTGTGCTGTGTGGCCCACCCTGCCATCGCCGGAGCCCTCGGTGGGGGAGGGGGGTCGCTTCGAGCAGTGGCGCGGCGACTTGGTTCAAAATACATAACGAGTCGGACAGCGCGCGAAATCACGTGAGACGGTATGCCTCCTCCCCCTCCCCTCCCGCCACACCCACAAGCAGCTTAGCCCGTCAGGTGGGATCACACGCTCACGCCGGCACACTCACACACACGCACACATACCCACACACACACGGCGCTGGCTGAGCTCAATAAGACAGCCAGCAAGCGTGCGGAATGCCCTAGACAAAGTCTCGGGGATGAGGCGGCGCGTTGCAGGCCAAGGAGGGCGCTGCGTGGCTCGGCGTGGCTCGGCGCCACCAGACGCACCACGCCGTACCGCCAGCGCCGTGCATCCAACTTATTGCGAATCTCGTGGTGGGTCCGCGGTGCTGCTGGCGGCAGCCGGCGGGTTCCCTACACCCTCGGACCCTTCGCAGCGTGTGATGACAAGCCCCATCGATCGGCCGAGTCAAGGGAAAGTCCTTACATTTTTCAGTGGAAGTAACAACAACGAAAGCAGGTCGACGCGTCGCGGTTCCGCTGGCGGTCGACGCCGTGGTCGAGGCCGTGGTCGAGGCCGTGGTCGAGGCCGTCCCGCGGCGGCCCAAGATTGATGGCGCGTCAATGCTTCTCCGCGGGGGCGAGCCCGGGCGAGGCCGACGCCGAGGTACAACACCTGCAGCGGGTCAACCGGCAACACCAACACCGGCACCGGCCACGCCCAGAAACGCCGACAGATAGCCGGCGAAAAAATAATGGAATACTTCCGCCATGACTTGGAGTGTGCTTACCCGGTCCACGGGTTGTCGTGACGTTTCCAGCCGAGTTTTATTGTCCGTTGTGTGGGGTCCGGCACGGCAGGGCACGGCACGGCCAGCGCAGCTGCTGCTGGTGCCATTCCTAGGGCGTCCTCCCCCTTCCACCATCAAAGCGCGCAATCTGCCAGCCATGAAAAATAAGTCTAGGCGCCATCGAAGGGAAAGAGAGAGAGGGACAGAGGGGGGGGGGGGGGGGAGTGGGGGAGAGGGGGGAGTGGGCGGGCTGGAGGTGCGAATGAGTGGGGATGAAAAGGGTTGCTGCGCTGTGCTGCGCCGGGCATGTATGAGAAATGACGGAGTGACAGGCCGACAATAAACATCCCCGAAAAGGCGTGCCCGTAAGACCTCCACCACCTCCCCTCGCTGGCCTCCTTGTTATTTATTTCTTGTTTTTATTGTATTTCCTCCTGGAAGGCCGGCTGTCCCCGACCAGGCCCGGCCCGCCCCGCGCAGACAGCAGACTCGATGCGTTTTCCTCTTTCCCCCCGCTGCCAATCCGACCCAAATATTATTCTTCTCGTCTGCCCCGCGGCTCGGGTCGGGCAGGCCTTGCCAGCCTTGCCCGCCTTGCCCAGGGCCAGGCCGTCAAATCACATTGCAGCCCAAGCCCCGGCCAGGCCCGGACCAGGCACGTCAAGACGAAGGCTGGAGTTTGCATGTGACGTGTTCGGGGAACGGCCCAGCGCGGGGATGGTCTCAAGTAGTGCTGGGAGTGTTGTGAGTGTGTGTGTGTGTGTGTGTGTGGCAGTGTGTGTGCGCGCTTCTTTACTGGGCGGCTCCAGCAGGGAAGGGCTGTCCCAGAGTCCCAGAGTCCCGGGCCCGGGCCGCGCCAGGCCAGTGGTGTGTGGTATCGGCGTATTGATTTTACACTCCAGCCTAAGTTTAGACGCGCCCGATGCGGTGGGCCAGGCCCAGGACCGTCTCCCCGAGCGACGCGCTGGTGGCTGCCCCGGGTTCGAATCCCGGCCCGAATCGCCTTTTTATCCCCCGCCACCCCACCTTGACCTTGAATTCTCGATCCCCGTCCACGCGGCACTGCTGCGGCGGCCCGTCGGTCGTACGCACCCCTCGAAGGTCCCCGTAAGTTACGGCCACTTACACTTGGAGGAGGCGCTCCCACTGGAAGGTCGTCACACCTCTAAACCGCGGCGAGGTTGGGCGGGGCGGGGGCAGGGGGGGGCGGTAACCGCCGGGAAATGCGACGCTTGTTGCGTGCGTTGCACGTGTACTGTGAAGGCGATTCGTTTTGGCACGCCACCATAAAATCGGCCCGGGCGACAGTTTTGTCGGTATGGACGTGCGGCGCTCGGAGCGAGGGGCGCTTGAGTCAGCAAGGCGGGGCGGGGCGGGGCGGGGCGCGGCGGGGCGGGGCGGGGCGGGGCGGGGTGGGTCAGCAGCGAGCCGCTCCAGACCAGTGGTTCCCCCGCGGCCCCGCCCGGCCCTCTCAGCCATTCCGACCAGATGACTCCGAAACCGCCGCGTACTATATCAATCCAAACAGCGGTGCTATGTTAGGGCAGGCAGCAGTTTACCCTCACCGCCGCACCGTTCGGCCCGGCCGCAAACACTCTGCCAGAAAAAAAACAGCCAAAAAACGCGTCACTGCAAAGTAAACGAATCACGTTTCGTAAACGAGGAAAAAGCAGTGGCATGGCCCGCGCCGTGCACGTGGCGTCCGCGTGGCGTGCAGGCCCAGTCCGGCGATCGGCGGCGAATAGGTGAAGGCCGTTCACACCGGCAGAATCAACGGCCTGGACCGGGCCGGCCCGTGCCCACGGTGTGCCCGCTTCCATGCCATTTACCCGGACGAGTTATTTCGCACAGCTGCGGCCCTCGGCATCGCAATGGGCATCGCCCGGCATCGCCGGCAAGGTGAAGAAGAATCGACTCGCTGTCGATAAATTGTGATTTTTATCGGTGTTCGCGGCACGGGCCGGCCGTCCGGCCGCGTCCACGCGCGCACGCACACACTCGCGCACTCACACACACGCGCTGCCGCCCGGACTTTGGCCATCCCATCGGGTTTGCTTTGGTCAGCGGCGCGGTACTACAGGAGGCACGCTGGGAACGCGCGCGTGGCTTTGTTCGTCGGGATGCTCTCGGCCCCAACTTGAAAGTCCGCGCTACCCGCGGTGCTTCCCTCGCACGCCACACAGTGGGCCAGAAGACGGGCGAAGGCGGCCAAAATCCTAGACGCGTTTTGAGCTCCAGAGTCGCTCAATAGGACTCAAGCCGGACGTGTGACCCCACCAATGGATTCCTCGTTCAGAGAGCAATCCATTGGTGAGGTCACACGTTCGGTTCGAGTCCTATTTAGCGACGCTGGAGCTCAAAACGTGTCGGGGATTTTGGCGGCCTCCACCGGTCCTCCGGCCTGTGCGCCACTCGTAAGGCCCCTTCGGCGCTGCGGGCGGCGGGGCACTTTGCCGCGTCTCACGCATGGAAATCGCTTGGAAGAGTTTAATTCGGACCCAAAAGGAAAAAGCGCGGCTCAAAATAATATCAGAGGCTCTTAGGTTCTTTTTTTTGTGTATGGAGATAGGGGAATTCAATTTTAGAGCGGCGGAGAGCGGAGAGCGCGCACCTCGCCGTGAAATGCCGGTGGTGGTGGGGGGGGGGGGGATGCGGTGCGCGGATGTGGCGGGCGGCTCCACCCACATCCCACACAACCCCACAATCTCCCACTTTCCACGCGACTTTACTGATCGCCCATGCAAAAAAAGGTTCGGGAGTCACTCTGCTCTGCTGCTCGCGATGGCGATGACCCCCACGATGTGGAGCGTGCTGCCCCCTCCCCCTCCCCCCCGGACGCGACGCGAGAGGCCCGCGGGCAACAGCTGAGTGGAATGCTTATCTCCCTGTGACAAGGGCCGGGGGGTTGGCTGTAGCCCGGGTCTACACTGTAGCCCGGCCGTACGCTGTAGCCCGGCTCTACACTGTAGGGACGCCGCGCGGCGTCATTGGGAGTGGCGGGGCGAGGCGCGGGGCGACTGGCGGCGACGCTGATGCAGGCCGACGCTCGCGCGTTACACTGGCGTGCCGTTACACCCCGTTGTAATGACGAGAGGAACGAGCCGCATACAGTGTACGCGAGCCTCGTCCCGTGG